TGCTTGCAAGTGCCTGCAAATAAATGCACAGGCTCAAGGTGCACAGGCCCTATCGGGTCAGGCGTGCTTGCAGGTGCCCCCATATGCACAGGCTCAAGGTGCACAGAAATTCACTTGTCAGGCGTCCCAGGTTCAGCAGATGCCGCAGGTCCTCAGTCCCTATTGCAGCACAGACCGTCGTGGGTCTTGTGCCAGGCGTCCCAGGTTCAGCAGATGCCGCAGGTTCTCATCAGGTCAGGTCCCTATTGCAGCACAGACTGTGGGTCTTGTGCCAGGCGTCCCAGGTTCAGCAGATGCCACAGGTCCTCAGGTCCTTATTGCAGCATGGACCACCGTGGGTCTATTGCCAGGCGTCCCAGGTTCAACAGAGTGCAGCACAAACTGCGTGGGTCTTGTGCCGGGCGTTCCAGGATCAGTAGATGTCACAGGTCCTCAGGTCCCTATGTAGTCCAAGCCACCGGGCACTTGTGCCAGGCGGCCCAAGCCCCGGGTGTGTACTGTGGAGGTTGGGATTCACCCTTGAAGTTCCCCTCTTGGCTATTCCCTCAACAACCCAAAACGTGAAAGATTGGAGGGAAGCCGAGGAAGCTCAGCGGATCCATTACTTGATGGAGTGAAGGGAGGAATCAAGAGTGTTGCAGAACAAAGGAATTGAGTACAGGAAAAAGCCTTCCCCACTGGAGGGGGGGGGAATCCCAAAACCTGCAGTCACGCTGGGAGGCCCAAGTCCTTGCCAGTCGGTGCAAGCGTGCCGGGCTAGCTGAGGTGTAGTGTTAACTGTCCGTTAGTGGCATTCCCATCTACTCAAAATGCTTCCTCACATCCACTTGCCAATCATGCACCTAGCGCTGCGGGGCTCCGCGAAGGCGTCTTGTTGATGAGCCTGGCGGGCTCGTCTGTGTGCAGCTCTGCGCGTGGTGGCAGTTGGCGGGTGTGTAGTCTTTGCATTTAGGGTTTAGGTTTGCTGCTTAGGTTTCTGGTCTGCCCCTCACTCTTGTGACAGTGCTCGGCACAGCATAGGGCGGAGGCCGTGTCAGAACTTACCCGGCAGGGACGCTCCTGTTTCTGCTGGAAAAGTGCCTGGAACAACCGGCAGGGACAAAGCCTGTTCATGTTGGAGGGGTGCCCTCATGTTGGAGTGCCAGCAGTGAGTAGACCCTAAACTGCTGCCTAAAACTTCTTCAGAAGGCTCATATGTGATTAGGACTCGCAAACGGTTGCCAGCACCTTCGCCAGAAGGCCCAGTAGGGATTATCGGATTTGCTGCTTCAGCCCTACCAGACTGCCCAGAGGAGGTTAAGTCGTGCACCCGAAGCTTGTGGTCCCTCGGGACTTGGAAGCAGCAGGGAGGGAAATCGCGAACCTGAAGCCCAGCGGGTATCAGGACCAGGCAGGAAGTAAAAGCGCGAACCTGCAGCCTATGGGCCTACGCGACCTGGGAGCAGCACGCAGATAAATCGCAAACCTAAAGCCTATGGGCTCTCCGGACCCGGGAGCAGCAGGGAGAGAGATCTCGAGCCTGAAGCTTATTGGCCTACGGGACCTGCGAGCAAGGCGGAGAGATATTACGAGCCTATCGGCTCTCACAGGACCTGAGAGCAGCAGAGATGTGTATCGTCTTGCGCAAACTGCCCACAGGACGCCGCATCTATTGACAGGCATCTTGGACACCTTGCCTGCAGTCTCACTGCCCGGCCAGGAGGGCGCCCGCCCTCCTGCGCTGTGGCAAGCAGAAGCAGTGGGTAGACCTCTCAGACTGATGCCTCAAACATCCCCAGAAGGCTCAGAAATGATTAGGTCTCTCAAACTGCTGTCCCAACAGTTGCCTGAAGGCCCAGAAGTGATTAGGCTTCTCAAACTGCTGCCTCAACCTTCCCTGGAGGGCTCAGAGTGATTAGGCCTCTCAAACTGCTGCCTAAAACTTCTCCGGAAGGCCCAGCAGTGAGTAGGCCTCTCAAACTGCTGCCTAAAACTTTTCCAGAAGGCCCAGAAGTGATTAGGCCCCGCAAACGGCTGCCGGAACCTTCGCCAGAAGGCCCAGAAGGGATGTGAGGAACTGCTGCTTCGACCTATTCCAGCAGGTCCAGAAGTGACTAGGCCTAGCACTTTGCTGTGGGTCCTGCATCAGGTGTAGTCTTAAAAAAATCGGCCGCTGCGCGGGGCTCCGAGTTCTAAGGCCCCTTGACTCTCACACTTGACGCGCGGTTGGCTGCAGCGTGTTACGCAGCCTTGTGGGCCTTAAACTGCACCAATCAAGCACGCCAAGCCATAGGCTCCTGGTACCTGGGAAGCACACTTGCCAAGTGCCAGCCAGCAGCCTCTGGGGCTCTTGCGCCGTCTCAAAAATCGGCCGCTGCGCGGGGCTGTAAGAACATGGCCTTTTGCAAGCAGCGCTTCAGGCCTTGCCCTATGGCCGTAGCTACGTGAGGACGCCCGGACTCACCCAGCGCAGACGGCAGCATAGTGTAGCCACACCAGCCCCTTGTCTGCCCCTGCTTGTCGGGGGGGAAGGGGACGCCTCTTCTGGCACTCTGTGTGCATTGTGCTTAGCGTGCTTGCAACTTCCTTGCCAACCTACAATGGAGTCCTGAGTGCTATTGCTACGGCCCTGGCGCTTGTGTGGGGACTGTCTCTACGGACGCGTTGAGCAGTTTAGGTGACGGAGGTTCCTTGCCTTACGGCCTACCCACACTTTCGCTTAATGTCTGTACCAGACGTGGCGCAGCATTGCTATGGGTGACGGGCTGCTGAGTGATTGGTGCCGGTAGGTTCTTGTTTGCATTGGTCTCACCATGCTGGCCTTGCGTTAAGTTGTCTTGCAATAAGGGCCTCTGCGCTAGCGGTTGCTTCTTTGTAGTCACGACTTCTTTTTCACTCGCTGGCTTGTACAGTTTGTTTCACCCTTCGTGTTGAGACTCACAAGGACGGCCTACTGGGCTGCTGATGCAGTAAAGAGGCGACAGTTCAAAAAAAAAAGAGGAATCTCTTTCCTCTCACTGTACCTTCGAAGACGGAAGGCTCTGTTGGGCATTAGACACATGCTTCGGCAATTGGATTATCTGTGCGAAAGTTGCTGACCCCACACCACTTTCTAGGTAAAGCATGTACCTTGTACAGTTGTATAGAGGTGTCTTTACCGAAGCCCTTTATAGGCACAAGCAAGAGTGGGAGAAAATAGGTTTCCGCTCGTTTCGCATGGTAGCGGAGCTCCTGGTTCAGAAGCCAGTCGACCGGAGCTCGTGAACAACGGGTGATACCGTTAGCTGCGTGTGAAGCAGCAGCGGGTGACACCGCAGGCAGGGCGACAAAGCCTGCCGGACTCGAGGGAGTCTTGCCAAAACCCTCGTTAAAGAAGCAAGACAGAAGCGAACTGCGCCAGTAGCAGTCGCGAAGAAGGCACCACGGGAAAAGGTGGAGCAAAAGGAAAGGGGTCTGGAAAGACCAAGAAGGGTGTTAGAAAAGGGAGAGAAGCCGACGCACCTCGCAGTCGTCATCGTAGTGCAGAAGCAGAGGAGCGAAGGATCCTACGAGGCTTTGCCAGACGAGCAGAGCGAGCGCTGAACAGGTCGGAGTCCAGGGACAGGGAACCGCAAGAGGCTCCTGTGCCTGGAGACTTGTCTGCAGAGGACGCGCTCAGACTACAAGCCAGGCCCAGCGAAGGCAGCAACCTTGGGTTTGGTGAGTGGTTAGACGAGGACGCCTGGGTTCCTGAAGAGTTACCTCCCACCAGTGACAGTGGACAGTGGGAGCGCTTGAGGGCCCAGTCCAGGGCTGGCTACAATCGCAGCGCAGAACCCTGGACGACAAGCTAGAAGGAGCTACTTGCAGAAGGTAGCTGGTCAGAGGGTGCAAGAAGGGCTTGGGCGGCTGGCAAGGACCAGCAGGCGCGGCACAGCAGCTTCCTCGGACGAGGCAGAGGCCAGCGAGGAGCGAGAAGAACCCAGCAGTGCTGCGCGGGTGATACCGCCTACAGAGGCGGGACACACCGAGCCAGCAAGAAGCGGGGCTTCAGTGGTTACGCTCACACACCAGCCAACATCGGTGTGGGACTCCGAAAGTGAAGGCGAGATCAAGCAGGAGGTCAAGAAAGAGGAGCAGTCCGGAAACACCTCGGATTGGGAAAGTGAAAGCTCAGAGGAGCACAGCACTGACCCGGAGGATCCGAACGGTGTGCAGTCTGCCTTGAAGAAGGCCGACAGGGCACGTGAAAGGCGGGAACAAGCAAAGCGGCACAAGCAGCCGCCGCCGGAGCCATCTGAGGGCGACGGCAGGTGACGCCGAGCTTTGACAACAGAGTCACAGAGGAGGACACAGAGAACGAAGAGAGGAGTGACGAGCAGTGGAGCCGCCAAGATCGGGAGCGAGATCGGCTTTGGAACGAGTGGTACAGAGCGAGAGGAACGGGAGGCTGGCGCCAGTGGCAAGGCTCTTGGTACCAGTCCTCAGGAGCGGGTTGGAACCGCTGAAGTGCGGGTGACACCGCCGAGTGTGAGGGAGCAGCTCAAGCAGGCTGCTGCCGAACTCGGCACCGCTTCTGTGTTCGTGAAGCCTGTACAGTTTGTGTGTGTTTGAGTTTTTTTTTGGTAGTTTCAATGGCAACTCTAGAAGAGTTAGCCCGTAGAGTGCAGGACCTAACACTTGGTATGCAACGAGCCAACGCTGCCTTTGAAGAGCAACAAAAGAAGACAGCAGAGGCCGAAGCTAGACTTGATGTAGCAGAACGAGCACTTCAAGCACAGTCAGCAGCAGCAGCAGCAGCAGGACAAGCCACAGGGAGCGCCGAAAGAAAAGAGAAAGAACTGATACACCCCAGTCATGTTCCAAAACCGCACACGTTTAACGGCAAGAAAGAAGAATGGGAAAAGTTCAAACATGTTTTCATGGCATGGTCAAGCACAGTGCATGAGCGTTACCCAGAGTTGTTGGAAAAGCATGGAGCCAGTAAGAACCCGATTGATGAAGCCAAATTTAGCCCCGAAGAAAGTAGACTGTCGAAAGCCATGTACACGTTTCTGATACAGTACTGTCCCGAGCCAACGATGAACGTCATAGGACAAGGGTTGCGTGATGCCAACGGTTTTGAGGTTTGGAGAAGATTGGTGCTTCTGAGCGAGCCAGCGCGTCGGACTAAGGCCTGGGTGTGGCGCAGGCACTTAGCAAATCCCTCGTTTCCGAGTGACATTGCACAGTGGAGCACAGCGCTTCACCAGTGGGAAGCTGAACTTCGAGAGTTTGAGCGTACGTACAACACAGCGTTTTCAGAAGATGAGAAAGTTTCCATTTTGGCTCATATTGCACCGAAAGAGTTGCAGCAAAGCATCTTCATGCACAGTGATGTGTTGAACGGATACGACAAGATACGAGAGTACATCGAACAGTATCTGATCAACAGAAACCTGTGGAAAAGGCCTCAAGGTTCACAGTTCGGGATGCCCAAAGCCTCAAACAAAACTGCTGAGCATGATGATGGGGGAGTGAGGCCTATGGACATCGGCGGAGTAAAAGGAGACAAAGGCAAAGGGAAAGGAGAATGGAAGAAAGGAAAGGACCACTGGGGCGACAAAGGAAAGGACAACTGGAGCAACCAAGGAAAGGACAAATGGAAGGAGAAGTGGAACAACAACAGGTGGGACAACAACGGCAAAGGAAAAGGTAAGGATGGAAGGAAAGGCAAAACCGACAAGGGAAAAGGAGCAGGCAACAACAACAAAGGAGGCAAAGGAAAGCAAAACGATGGGAAAGGAAAGAACAACAATCCGCACGCTGGAAAGCAGTGCCATATGTGCCACAGGCATGGTCACATTGCTGCAGACTGCTGGTGGAAGGTTGGAGCAGTCGACAGCGAGGCCTACACCGAGACCGGTGGGACAGGTGCATCCGGGAATGCCCCAGAAGACCGGAGTGGCAACGGTGCAGGGATTGGTTCTGTGTTTGAAGGTTCGCAGCGTGTTGTCAAGTGGAGTGATGAAGATGTGATATTCACTGTGAGTGAGAGTTCCGTTGCAGCTGTGACTGCAAAACAGCTAGGCAACCGGTATCTTCTCATCGACTCAGGAGCCTGTGAGAGTGTGGCAAAAGTAGGAGACTTTGAAGCACAGGTGGATGCCTCGAAAGCGAAGCCTTTGTTCAGCGTGCAAGGGACGCCGCTTAAGGTGTATGGAAAGCAGTACCCTCAGGTCATGTTCGGACAAACCAAAGGAGCAGTAGAAATGACCGTAACGGATGCTGCTGAGAGCCTAGTTTCGGTTCACAGTTTGGTAGCGAGAGGACACAAGGTGGTTTTCAGCCCAGGAGGGTGTTTCCTCGAGACCAGCGCGGGTGACACCGTACCACTTGAGCTTCATGAAAAGGTGGTACTTGAAAGTGATGGACGTGGGCGAAGGGAGCGCGCCTGCAGGAGGCAGGAGGGTCGCACCCATTGCCGACAAGCCGGATCTGGGTCCCCGAGAGGAAGACCGCTGGAAGAGAGAAGTGAAGGATGGGGTGGAGTATCTCATTCGCGAGCACAACAGCCCAAGAAAGCGTTTGTTTGCGCCAAAGATCAAGGATCTCCTTGTGCCCTTGGAGAGACTGGAGAGTGGAAGGCTCACCAAGATGATCTTCGAGGAGGATGGGTCCCAGAAGGAAGACCGGAGTGCGTGGGAAGACAAGCGCTTTGCAATGAGGGATATGAAGCATGCTTGGCTGGGAGAAACCTGGTTCAGGCTGAAGCCAGAAAGAGAAGAAGCAGCTGCTGAGGAAGAGCAGCCAGACTATGAAGGCGAATGGATGCAAGGACTAGACGAGGCATATGAAGAAGAGATTGCGCAAGGAGAGGAAGCTCATGGAGGAGTTGTGGAAGACGACGAAGACGCAGTGGATCGGCTGATGATAGATGAGGACAGAGAAAGAGACCAGAGCAAGGTCATCAAGGCACCGAAGGAGCCGTCGAAGAACACAACCTCCACCATGCCAACTTTGAGAGTTGGTGCCCTGTTTGTGTGATGGGGCAAGGTAAGAGCAAGCAGCACAGGAGGGTCAAGGAAGACCCCAAGGAGCATGTGATCTACTCCGACTACATGTTCTTTTCTGGAGAAGGCAAGGAAGTGAACAAAGAAGAAGGAGAAAAGAAGCGGGCTGGTTTGGTAACCGTTCTCACTGCAATTTGCAAAGAGAGCCAGTACCCTTTCGCGCTGGTGTTGCCATCCAAAGCCAGCGTGGACTACGCAAGCAAGGCAATGATCAGCTGGATCAAGGATCTGAAGTGGGACAAGGTAGTGATCCATTTCGACCAAGAAAGCGCTCTGAACAAGATATATGAAAGGGTGCAGAAGGAAATGGGTGACACCGTTACTCTGCGGAGATCACCGCGATACAGTTCACAGTCCTTAGCAGATGGAGAGATGGTCAACGGTTTTCTGGCAGGCAAGATTCGCGCATGGCTTGCGGAGGTGTCAGAGAAATACAAAGTCAAGATTGGCTGTGACAGTGTCTTGTTTCCATGGATTGTGCGACACAGTGCGTGGACGGTGGCACGGTTTCACATCAACCACTCGAAGACAACGGCGTTCAGAGTCATCAATGGGTTTGACTATGTGGGTGAGATGATGACATTCGGACAGGTGGCCTTAGCAAAATTTCCGAAGCAAAAGGACAAGGCAGCTCCAAGATGGATTCGCAGAGTGTATGCCGGAAAGAATGCTGCAGGAGATGAGCACTTGGTGCTTACAGAGTCAGGGGTGCAGACATGCCGCACCGTGAGGAGGTTACCAGAAAGTGCAAGATATGAAGCGGCGATACTCGACAAGGCAAAGGGAGTGCCTTGGAACAGGTACTTGGGCATTGCAACGAGCAAGGTAGTGCAAGAACGGTCTGAGAGCAAGGGTGTAGCAGTTCCGGAGTTGGAGCCTGCAGAGACCTACGACTTCAAGCCAGAGACGATAGTGGTGCCAATGCCGGCGCCAAGAGCAGCAGATGATGCAGGAAAGGAGAGTGAGAAAGCTGCGTTGCAAGAGCCAGAGAGCAAGAGAGCCAGGGTGGAGCCTGCGCAGGCCAGTCGGCCGCCGGGTGACACCGGGAATGCTGCAGCTAGCACGCAGCAGTTCAACATCGCTACGCCTGATGCCAGCATGGGCGCAGACAGTCTCGACACGAGCATGTATGTGCCAAGCGTGCCGGGAGATGTAGCGCAGAACATGGTGGACAGTGTTAGTAACCATGGGACCTGGCTGGAGGGTAGTGCTCTCCTACCAAAAGAAGATGTGGGTGTGTACAAGAAGTGGCTGAAGCAAAACAAAGATTGCTTCAACGAGACAATGGTGAGCAACATCATGGACTACCTGGACACGTTGCAGATTGACGAGAAAGAGTTGAGGAGAGCGAGAAAGGAAGAGCTGAGAAAGCTAAATGAGGTGTACGGTGCCTTCACACCGAGAGATGGGAGACAGATAACAAAGGACCTGACGGTGTTCGGCCACAAGTGGGTTGACAAGGTCACTGAAGGAGTGGCAAAGTCACGACTCACATGCCAGGACTTCAAGAAGAAGCAAGAAGCAAATGAGAAGCACAACTCAGAGTACCCTTCAAATTTCTGTCCAACGCCACACGCCACCTCGAGGAAGTTGTTGGAGGTTTACTCGCTGACGACAAAGATGCCGAGAGTCAAGGCCGACCTTAGCTCAGCTTTCCTCATTGCGAAAGATGGTGGAGATGCAAAAGGACAACCAGTGATGATGAAGCCGCCAAAGGAATGGCTGGAGGAATACGATGAGTGGTACGCAAAAGCAAGCCCAGAAATGCAAGAGCAGATGAAGAACGTGCCGAAAGAAAGCGTGCTATGGCAGGTCGATGGAAATCTGTATGGAAGGCAGTCAGCGGCAGCGCAGTACAGAGATCGTCTGGAAACCATTTTGACCAAGGAACTCCCGAAGGGAGTGTATCAGTTTCACAGGGGGACACTAGACGCATGTGTCTTTCGATGCGTGCGAACAGGGATCGTTTTGATCCACAACACATAGACGATTTCGACGTTTGTGGACCGGCAGAGTTGCTGGATGACCTGCTGAAAGTTCAGCTGCCGAAGTGCGGATGCAAGCTAAAAGTGGGTGAGCTTGAATGGCCAGGCGCAGCAAGCAGTAGCACGAGTGAATTTCTTGGCAGAAAGAAGATCCTGGTGGAGGGGGCTGTGGTTACGATGCCGAACGAAAAGCATACCACTGACATCCTTAGGATGCTAGGACTAGAGGACGCCAAGCCAAGCCCCGTGCCGGGAAAGAAGCTCAACCTAAAGGATGACAAGCTTCTGGAGGGCAGAGTCAAAGAAATCTACGCTAGCTGTGTAGGCAGTGCTACCTACCTGTCGCAGGATCGACCCGACATCAAATTCGCATGCAAGGAGCTTGCAAAGCGGATTAGGAATCCCAGGGAATGTGACATGCAAAACCTCAAGACGTTAGGTAGATATCTCAGGGGAACCATGCACGTGGGACATGTGACAAAGATGAGTGAAGACTTCGAACCAGCTGCAGGGATTCCGCTGCAGGGGTATTGCGACAGTGACTGGGCAGGTGCACCAAACAATCACCTTGCTCTTCGCCCTGTTGGGTTGGGACCTGGCCCAAGGTGGGAAAAAGGATGTGCCGTTTGCGGAAACCTTTTGTGCGTTAGGGGTTGACATAGTGCTGTCGAGCGCCCACTTGGGTCGTGTGACCATTTGCAACACGGAAAAGAGAGTTCAGCTCCTCGTAGAGACTATGAAGCAGGCCCAGAAAGACCGACGTATGAGTGCGCCTCAAGCACTCAAGCTAAGGGGTAAGCTCCAGTTTGCAAGTGGACAGCTGTTTGGGCGTCAGAGCAAGTTTTGCATGCAGCAGCTTTCTGATTACGCCCATGGGGGTGCCCCTCCTGATCTGCCGGCGGAGTGCATTGATACTTTCACCTCGCTGGTCGACATGTTGGACAGTGGCCGCCCTAGGCTAGTCCAAGTCAACAAACAGCAAACCTGGTATGTCTTCACTGATGCATCCTATTCGAAGGATGACCCCGTGCTGCCTTGTGGTGTTGGTGGTCTCTTGTTTGATGATAAGGGTGTGTTGGTTGCTGGTTTCTCCCACGCCCTTGACAGTGACGTCCGGAAGCTCCTGGGTGAGATCAACAAGGACACGATCATAATGGAGGCTGAGGTTGCGGTGCTGCTTGCGTTCCGTCTTTGGGGCAAAAGGGTTGCGAACTCACCTGTTGTGGCTTTCATCGACAACAACTCCGTCAGGGACATTTTGATTTCATGCAGGGGCAGGTCCCCAACTGTGAAAAGCCTGCTTAAAATGTTCGTGAGCTTGGAGGTGGGGTGTGAGTTCATCCCTTGGTTCTCACGCGTTCCTTCCCCATCAAACTGTGCGGATCTCCCGTCGCACAGGTTGCGAGGCTGCTGAAGATGGCATTTGACCAGCATTCTCACCAACCAGGGATCACACTCCCTCTTCAGTGGACCGACGCGTGGATAGTCTGGCTCCCAAAGCCGGGCAAAGACCCATGCGAGCCCTCATCGCTCAGGCCAATAGGCCTCATGTCTCCTGATGCCAAAGCCCTTGCAGGGCTTCTCAAAATCAGACTCTATGAGCTGATTCGGCCCCAGCTGCGCAGGGTGCCGCAGTTTGCCTATCAGCCGGGGAGGGATTTGTACGATGCCTTGGCTAGAGTGCAGGTGTGGATTGACAACTTCAAAAGGTGTTACGGACGAGGAAACAGCAGCAAATTCGCCCAAAGGGACAGGGAGAAAAATCAGGACAACACAAAACTCTGCGTCGGGGGAGCCATCCTCAGCCTTGACCTCAAACAGGCCTTTGACAGAGTAAACCGTCAAGCACTAGCCCAGTCGCTAAAAGACCTTGGTGCGGGAGAAAGCATGACGGCCGAGATTATCTCCCTCCTAGACACATCACGGTATCACATTATCAGTGATCAGGAACAAAGCACAGTGGGTACAACGCGAGGCATCCGCCAAGGATGTAAGATCGCCCCCATGCTTTGGGTGGCAATATCGACCCTTTTGCTGGAGCGGCTGGGGGATGCCCTCTCAGGCCCCCACAGACAAGCAACCACTTTTGCCGACGATACCTTAGTGCAATGGCTCATTGAAAACTCCACGGACATTGCCCAACTTAGCAGTTTCATCAACAAACTTCTGGGGGTCATGCAGGACATGGGGCTTTTGGTTAACCTTACCAAAACAGTCCTGCTCTTGAAAGTTTGCGGACCTGGGGCCAGACGCGCGCTCAAGGACTATGTAGTGTATAAGGACGGGAAAAAATGGTGGCGGGCGCGACACCCTGATGGGAGCGAGGCGCTAATCCCCATTGCCTGCTACACTACATACCTAGGGACGCACCTTTCCCTCCAAACGGAAGCGCACAAAGTGGTAGGCTACCGTATTGCTGAAGCTAACAAGAGAACTGGCAAAATCAAAAAGGCGACCAGGTCCAGGAAAGTCTTCGGCTTAGCGCATAGAGTACGCATCTGGCAGGCCTGTGCTGCATCGAGTGCTACATTTGGCCTCATTGCTTTCGCGCCCTCTGCCAAGGCGGTGGCACTCCTCAGGGGTTGGTTCTATCGTCAACTAAGAGCCGTTGCGGACTCACCTGCCCACATCTCGCATGAGACTAACAAGCAACTTCGGCAAAGATTAGGGGTTCAGGATCCTATAGATGCCACTGTGCAACGGATTCGGCATAAACTTGACAAGCTTCGGGTTGCAGAAGCGAGCATCATCAACCAGCCACAAACTCTCCAGTATTGGGAAAGTATGCTACAGCAATACCTCATCTTCCACACAGATAACATCGATGCGGAGCCCGACTCCAGGCTGATCCCGGTGCCCGCGCAACAATCGCAGCCGGTGGCCTGCCCAGTCTGCGGAGTGTACTTCCCATCAAACAAAACAATGAGACAGCACAGGGGAAGAGTCCACAAGGTGTATGTGAGCTCGCACCGGCATGATGATGACATGTATCAACAACAGGATCACTCTGCTGGTGGCATGCCACAGTGCATTCATTGTGGTCTTAAGACGGGTTCATGGGACGCGCTGAGGAATCACATCCTCAACAACGTTTGTGGCTGGCAGATGCCACCCGGCCCCACTCGGGAGGCCGAACAGCAGGACATCGCTACCCCCCCTAGGGGTCACTCAGACAGGGAGCCACGCATACTTGAAGACACCCATCCCTCGAGCACCATCGCTCGGCAACAACCGGTACAGCCTGCCCAGGAGGAGCCGACGATCCCGTTGCTGCGTAGACCTGAAGTGGCGAAGCAACTACTGCAGTCGGACTCTAAGCTGCAGATCGTCAGAGATCACGCTAGGAGTCTCATTCAGCACTGTGGCTTCTGTGGACAGTGGATTGCTAAGGGAGGCTCGGTTAAGGAGCACATCAAGAGAATGCACTCACACATATGGCATGCAAGTATTGGCAACCTGGACACTGAGTGTGCGCTGTATAAATCTCACCTCACCCGTGACAGTGTCTGCGACCTTTGTGAGGTCATGGTGTACCAACCCGACAGGCACACTCGGAGCTGCACGGTTATTTTCCAAACAGCCTTAGCCACAGCATGGCATAAGGTTGGGGCGCCGGACACGGCCCCCGTCGCCAGGGATGTGAGAACTTGCATCACTGATGAGTTCCTTGCCAGGCAACTCAACCCCGACGTGCACAGGCAGGGCAAAATGGAGGCAGGAGACAGCGAGGTCATTGACATGCTGACACGGCACTGTGGACTTTGCCTTCAGCGATTGACGAATCAACAGGACTGGAGGCGACACTGTGCCAACCAGCACAAGGAGGCCTGGAAGCGAGCTGAGGGATTTGCAGAGTTGGTACACGGTTTGCCGCTAGCTAGACCATGCCGGCATTGCGGAGTGACCTACCACAAAACCCCGAAGGTTCACGCTCAAAAGTGCCTGCCACTCTTGCAAATCGCATTTCTGTCGCGCCATGGACGACCAAGCACTGCAGGAAGTGGCGAACATGTGGGGGCAGCACAGCCCGATGGAACTCATAATGAGGGACAGGCCGACCGAGGAGGAGAACGGCGAGGGGCGGAAATTCCGTCGCAGGGAGGGCAAAGGCCCAGGCAAAGCAAAAAGGGAGCCGATCCCGGCCCCAAACCAGCAGCTGGCAAAGCAAGTGCAAGTTCTAACCAAGTATGTCAGCCAGCACGCCATGGCGCTGCAACTGCTGGAGGCCGACAGAAGTTGGGTTCTCTGGATGGACTCTGGAGCGATGGGCATCATACCTCAGCTGGTCAAGACCACGGCCACCTGGAAGGAGAGCCGAGAGCAGAACAAGTGCACCTGCAGCCTTCGCCAGGCTCTCCTGGGATCGCTCCTGCTGGAGCTGCAAGCTCGGCTTGCGGAGATGGAGGGCGACAAGGCGGCACAGGCGCCACTCATTCAGAGGAAGATGCTCGTAGCAGAACCAATGGCGTGGTCGTACACGAGATGGAATCCGGACAAGAAACTCCAGGAGCCCAGAGAGGGCAACCCGCTCTCTCATCAGGATGCAAAGGAGGCAGTTCAACTGCTGATGCGAGAGGCCGTCAAGCCCAACGTCATCCAGCGCTTCCATGCTCTAGGCGGAGTCAAGGAGGACAGGCCAGGAGCCACGACGTTCGTGCTGACAGTCTCCCTGGACGCCGATGCACGGCCCAACATCAACAAGGCACTCCATGCTCTCACGGAGACAGCGGCCACCGCGCTCATAGGAGCCAGGATCCGCCCGGAAAGAAGCCACAAGCCACTTCCAGAGGACCTACAGCGGGCCATCGACGCGACGAGAAGGCAATGAAGCCTTCTCGCCAAAGTATTTTTACTAGTAAGGGCAAGTTGGGTTTGGAGTGTCTGCCTGAGGGTGTGTTGCACCGTGATCTTGCAAAGAACATTTACCCCGGGAAGCCGCCTCACGGCCCCAACATCCCCACCAAGCCTAGCGACAGTGGTCCTGGTTCAAGGAGATCACGGAGCATAGGGGAATGGCTGAAGGGGACAGGTCAGCCAGCACAGGGGGCGGACGCTAAATCCCATAGCCAGGAGAAAGCAGAGGGCCAGGGGGAAAAAGTCACTGATGCACCATGCCCTATGCAACATCAGCATTGTGTGCTTGAAAACCCATCCAACCTTTGCTACCTCAACTCCATGATCCAAGCGCTGCTGCACCTGTTTGGTCAAGTCAGGCCGCCGGACAAAGCGGGCTTTGGATGTCTACGCCCCATGCTTAATGCGCTGACCAAATGTGTCAAGCCCCAGCAACTAAGCAGGAGAAAGGACTGCATGCAGCTTCTACAAGGCTGGCGTGACCTCCACCAGCAGCATGATGCTGCAGAACTTCTGCAACATCTAACAAAGGACGGGGTCCCTAGGATCTTGCTGGGCAGATGGGAGTCCAGGGTTTCCGGAGTTAGTGAACGGGAGCCGGCCACAGTCCGGGCTTGGAACACGGCGGTGCCTCTGATCCCTTTGCCATGCACAGGTCAGACCACGACACAGCTGGCGCTGAACTCCTGGAGCGTACAGCCGGGACCTCGCAACGAGGAATATGTGACCGCACTGGCTGACGTTCCCGTGATACTCAGTCTACAGCTTCTGCGTTTTCAGGAAAAGGGTGGTCGTATTAAGAAGGTCCGCAGCCCGGTCACCGTCAATCCAGTCATCAGAGTTCCTTTTTTCAAAGACGGCAATACCCAACAACTCAGCACGAGCGAATACCGGCTCATCTCTGGTGTTGTACACACAGGGGACACCCCACACACTGGGCACTATAGATGCTTCTGTCTCAAACCACAGAGCAGTTCTTCTTCTGAGGTGGAGACGATTGCTGAGGCCTTTGACAAAGGAGCCGCAACTTCGGCCCTACAGATGGTAGATGATGGTAGGACGCCATTCAACGCCACGGCTAGGGATGTACAGCATATAAATCGCAACTGGTACATACTTTTCTTTTCGCGGCAATAGTCCGCGCCGCCATGGACGGCGGTAGGTGTCCGGCGCGCCATAATGGCCACACCAACTGTGTGTGTTGCGCCCGCCGAATCACTGACTCAGTGAACGCGTTAGAATGAAATGGATCTCCCGTCGAGGCTGGTGTCCAAGCACCTGTTGTGGGGTGGCATCAGTGTCCCGTGTTACGATGTGTCGGAGCACCTGGATGCCATATGCTTGGGACTGTCGGCTAATAAGGGGGCTTGAGGTTCGTTTGTGTATGGTGAGACGCATGTGCAATGTATGTGCACCGCGCTGTGTGCACCGGCACATGATAGAATGCGATCTTTGATTCGCCCACTGATGAAAAGAAGAAGAGGGACATGCAGTGCTCGTTCTGAGTTTTGCCTCTCCTTGTTTGGGATCTTGGCTTTTGGGTTCAAACCGAATTTGGCACAAGCGGTAAGCTTACTGTTCGCGAGCGAATGGTGTTTTATCGATTGCTGCCAAATTGTCTCTAAGAAAAACGGTGTGCCGTTTGGTCTTGGTTTGAAGCCCAAAAGTTTCTGATGCTTGTCACGCTTGGTAATGCCAACGACGATTTGCAATTGCATATGCAGGAAGATGTGTGTGCAGCACTGGCTCTGCAGCTCAGTGCCAAAATTTTGACCCGCCCAGCCCACCCAGGGCATCGCAGAAGCAGGGCCCGCCGCGGCGGCTGCAACTCCCTGCGTGCCATCGGCACTCCCATTGGTATTGCGTGTACAGCTGCCTCGCCCTTAAAGGGGGCTTGAGGTTCGTTTGTGTATGGTGAGACGCATGTGCAATGTATGTGCACCGCGCTGTGTGCACCGGCACATGATAGAATGCGATCTTTGATTCGCCCACTGATGAAAAGAAGAAGAGGGACATGCAGTGCTCGTTCTGAGTTTTGCCTCTCCTTGTTTGGGATCTTGGCTTTTGGGTTCAAACCGAATTTGGCACAAGCGGTAAAGAGGTGTCTTTACCGAAGCCCTTTATAGGCACAAGCAAGAGTGGGAGAAAATAGGTTTCCGCTCGTTTCGCATTATCGTCTTGGATCCTTTCGGAAGAGGTGAATGCAAGAAGGCACAGCTCGATCGGGCTTCCCTCATGGAATCTATCGTAGGTTACGGCTTCCTTGCCACTGCGCAGTACATCGCTGATCTGTTCTTTTGCGTGGCAGATATCCCAAGCGTTGGTAATGCGCGGTTCCCTGCTATGTTACAGCGATCCGGATTACTGGATGGGGACCCTTTTATTGGCATTCGAAGCTCACCAAAAGGGGCCCCCTGGGCGCGCAGCTGGTTTGCTCATTATGCTAGGGTTTCCTAAGACGGAAAAGCGCATTACTGGTGCCCGCAGCCATCGTAGCATTATTGGCGGGACGTGCATATCGAACGCCCACCTGCCCCCACACGGTTTATGAGAGAGATCAGGATGGATTGCCCGTATACAAGGGCAAGTGGATGAGTCACTGGCTTCTGCCCGGCGAGCTAGTATCAAAGCTCGGGGGCAACGTCCTCCGTGTTCCAGCCAAACGCACCTCCCAGGCACTTCCTGGACACCATACGGCAAGCCCTCGCAGCCTCGGAGGCCAGCCAAACTCTGGAGCCTGGTCCATTTACAACCTGGCCTAATGTCACATCTCGAGTGGTTGTTTTCTTCCGTAGGGTCCTCCGGTTGGAAGGGCTTCTTTTCGTCTGAAAAAAGACTCTACTAGTTCTGCGCAGCAGAGTTTGTTTCACGACGTCGTGCATGAGATCTTTCATGGAGCGTTTTCCAACATAGTCATGTTTCAAGGAATTCGCCTAGTTGTATATACAGGAACACCGTTAGGATTGGTTACTTGGATCATCCTGATGTATTTTTCACAGTCTTTTTGCCAAGCAGTCAGAAGCAGAAGGAAGAAGCCAGGAAAGAAGACGCGAGAGCAGAGGAGAGCTGCAGCAGCACATTGCAGGCAGTACAAATCATTACTTTTAGCAACACTTGTTTACAGCAACCTTGAAGCAGCCAAAGGTATGGAAGAAGCACTCAAAACATTGGCCGAAGCAAACATGCAAACACTGCAAGGCATACAAGCTTTGTCGCAGGAGATAAGGCACTCAGCAGCAGCAGGAAGCCAAAGAGAGGAAGGATTGACACGAGCATTTCAGGAAACAGTAGCAGCAGTTCAGCAGAAGCAAGCCGAGTCACAAGAAGCACTTGTGAGAGCACAACAAGAAGCAGTCACAACATTTGAGGAGATTGGCTCATCACTTGAGAGAGCCGTCAAGGAAAGAAAGCCAGGAGATGTGGAGCTACACAAACTAATCAAAGCACCCGAAGCTTTCAACCCAGGTACATGGCAAGAAGAGAAGAGTGGATTTGGAGAGTTCAGGAATCGACTCCGAACGTGGCTTGGAGCACTGGATGAAAATATGGTGAGGATCATGGACCGCGTAGAGAAGAACCTCAAGGAAGATAAGGCAGTCACTATGAGTGAGATGTCAACAGAAGCCAGAGAAGCCAGTCGCAGGTTGTACAGCGTGTTGAGTAGCTACACAAAAGGTAGACCTTTTCGTGTTGTGAAGCATGTACAGGAACAGAATGGCATGGAAGCGTATAGGATGTTGATGAAGGAATATCAGCCGGTGAACAGAGCACGATCTTTGGAGCTTTTCCACAATGTTCTCAACTATCGTTTCGCGAAGGAAAAAGGCATTGCAGAGAACATTCTAGAGTATGAAGAAAAGATTGAGTTGTATGAGAAGGCAACAGGTGAGAAGGTGCAGGAAAACCTCAAAGTTTCAACCCTCATTCAAGGAATGAAGCCTGATGTGAAGAGACATATCTTGTTGAACATTGGTGAAGACACTAAGTACAACAGCCTTCGTCAGTATCTAGTCAACTACGAGTCAACCGAACGATGGACCAACTCCCTTAGCCAGCAGCAAGGAACGCCGCATAGGACCACAACCGACCTGATCGACGCAGGTGAAGACCATGGAGGTTTAGCAGCGATGGATGTCAACAGAGCATGGAAAGGCAAAGGTAAAGGTTGGTACAAAGGCTATGGTAAAGGCAAAGGCAAAGGCAAGAAAGGCAAAGGTTCAGGTAAAGGTTTCGAGGACAAAGGTAAAGGTAAAGGCAAAGGTAAAGGCAAAGGTCGAGGAGGCAATTGGAAAGGTCGAGGTAGAGGCTTCAGAGGCCGAGGTAAAGGTAGAGGAAAAGGCTATGGTAGAGGCTTTGGTAGTTACAAAGGCAAAGGCAAAGGAAAAGCACAGTCAGCGTCAGGAGTTTGCCACTACTGTCATAGGTATGGACACTTTGAAGCACAGTGTAGGAAGAAGCAGATGGACATGGGATACCAAGCTAGGACCGTAGACCTAGAGAGCCAAAGCGAACAACAGAGTACAACAGGAACCTCAACTCAAGCCCCTTCGTCAGCCTCGAGGTACCAGCAGTCTCAAAGAAGCCAAAGCAGCCAAGGAACCTCCAACTCAAACAAGCCTGTAGTTAGGATGGTTTCGATGCATCACATTGGAGATCCCCCAACAAGTTTCCCGGAAGAGTTTGCGTTGAGCGAGGATTCAGAGGAAGTTGAGATTGACTACTTCGGAAGAATCTTGAGAGTTACGTGTGAAGAGAGTCAGGAAGAGAGAAAAGAGACAGAAGAGTTCTGGATAGGAGATGAAGATGAGTCCCAGGAATGTGAAGAACTTGACGACATGCTGTACCATTGGTACGGTGACGAACAGGAACAGATGTTTGTCAGGACAGCACGACAGGACCAGTCCCGAGAGATCGAAGTGGTACTGGATTCTGGAGCCGACATTTCGTTGGCACCTATGTGGATGAAAAGATTTG